TATATATATATATATATATATATATATATATATATATATATATATATATATTATTTAGATAGTGCACGTCATCTCAATCCCAAAAATATAAAATTCGTCCAAATCTGAATCCGTTTGAATTAGATATGATTTTTATAAGACATAAAAGTCAGCCGCGCACAAAGAATGTGTGACGTAAAAAGATACGAAAAGAATGGTTGACTTTTAGCTAATGCCACCAAAAAGAAAATTGTAGTACTCCTTAAATAGGAATTTAGAGAAAAAGAATGTCCAAAACGGAGTCCGTATAAGAGAGTTATGATTTTAGCAAAATCATTTAATTTTGTAAAAATATGGACGAAAAATAAAGTCAAAATTAGCCGACGGAGTCTAAATAAAAGTTGTAGATCTCGTCGATAGCTACGCGTGGTTACAAAGAATGTCAAAAACGGAGTTCGTATGATCGAATTATAATTTATAATAGCATATTTACGTATTAAAATAAAGTATAAATCATATATATATCGTTAGAAAGGTATCGACGATGCGGACGTTATAAGACTAGTGTTGAGTACTTTCAACATTAGTTTAGTACAGATATCGTTAAATCTATTTGAAATAGTATTATAAAGGGATGTTTAGTCATTTAAGTAACTATAGAAGGTGATTTTTGAAAATTCAGTTACAATAAATAAGAGGCTCTAGGCTCTCATATTTCTTGCATCATTCTCTTGATTCAAGAGTCTTTCCCTTTTTATCCCTGAGCATTTCTGTCCCTCGTGATTCGACTTCTCTTTCTGTAGTTTTAGTATAGCAAGGTGAGAGCGGAAGCGCTACAAGAATCATTTTTAGAAAAAAAGAGTTTGCGACGAAGTTTTGACCATAGAGTCCTAAGTTTTCGCTAGAAACCTTGTAAGTGAGTTATGATTACCCTACTTTAAGTATAGCTTATGTTTAAGTTCATTATCGTTATTATGAATCTATAAACAATATATGTGCTAAGTATTATAAAATATACGAAGTGTTATTATACTATCTTTTAACTACTCGCGGTACAGAGAATCTGGTTTGAAGGGCCGCATAGGGTTGTTGGATTTCAGAACAACTTAAATGCCAAAATGGTCCTGCCCTCCGGTGTTTCATGTCTGACCCCTGTCTGTACATAATAGTTGAAAAATATTGTTTAACACTTATAAAATAATATAGATTGTAGACCTTGAGCTAATAATTAGTTGCAATAAATATTAGACTAAGATCCAGTGATAATGATACTAGGTTTCGTCGAAGGAAAATAAAATTGTTAGAAGCGAAGCGCTGCCCGAGTTTGGAGTCATCACTTTAACAAACGAGTACATAGTTACTTTCATCGTACACATAGATATGAAGTATTTAATATAAATTACATGTTATGTGTGCATATTATATGTGTTCTTGATATCTATGTTGGATGAACAAAATATACATGTTTTATTCGATTTAAACTGTATATGTATTTTATCCCTAAAAATATGATGGGTAAAGATGGGTAGATGATATAGATGATGAAATAAATGATGAGAGACCTCGATGTTTAAGTTGAATTACTCATTTAGAGGAGTATAAATGACGACCACAAACTATTTTAGACATTCTAGTGGAACGCTGGCAGGCTCACAACCTGTAGGTGTTTGTGAACGATGTGTTCACCGGTGTACTCCACCCCCCTCATGACTGCCTTATTGACATATATTGCTGAGGAATCCCCTAAACAATATTGTCATCCCGATGATGATCCTTAGCCTAGGTCCCTTGAGTTAGATGATTTAGGAATAGAAAGTGAGGATAACGACAACTGTTAGATCCCAAAATTATGCCATACTTTAAGGATTTGAAGTTAAGGAAAAAGAATTTGAGCTAACGAAGTGCCAACTTACATCAATTAATATTTTAGTTAGACAAAGTCGACCGAACGACTTTAAAAAATGACAGTTTTCGGGGAGACGACCCACATAGTTTTTATCTTTTTGTTTCCAATAAAGTCGATCGTAGTTCCAAGCAAGTTTGGGGAAATAAAATGATTTCTTGATTTGCTGAAATTCAGATTTTTTGCCGAGAGCTTCGTCAAACAATCAAATTTTATGCAATATATCAAATACATTATTTTCTTGTTGCACACTTTTATTGCTTTCTGTCTTATTGAGATTTCCATTAATTCTCTCTAAACATTAAACATTGATCATGATGCTTAATTTTAAGCTTGGGGATAAGATTGGTCAAAAATTTGCATTTTTTCTATTTTTTTTTAGTTATTTTAACAATTGATTTTTCCTTTATCAGTATTTTTTTCTTATTTTCTGCATTGGATTAAAATTCAAGAAACGTCCAAACAAAATATTTTCTGTTTATGTTTCTATTTTTTTTTTTTGCAGCGCCATAAAGAAACACCCAAAAAAATAGTTTTTAGTTTATATTTTCTGTATAAGAAAAAGTTAAAAAAAAATTACATGATATGAAAAAAAAAATTAGTTTCAAACGTGCTTGTAAAAATGGAAACTGAAAGGGACTTAAAACAATATTAATAATTTAATATTGAACCCCAAAAAGAAACACTTCGTATATGCTAAAAATTTGGGTTTTGCCATATGGAACTTGTTGGGGGCATGCAGATGCATAATTCTTAATTGAGAAATAGAAAGACAAAAAAAAAAAAAAATCATTAAAGGATCAAGTATATGAAATATCTATAAGTCCAGGGACAAACACTGAAACTTTTTCAAACCCTCACCAATCACCATAACCCATCAATCTCCATCACCATCTTCTTAGAAAATCACCAGAGCTCGTTTGAATGCACACACAAATTCCCTTCAAATGGCTTCACCGGCAAGTCATTTCCTCCTCCATATCCTCTTCCTCTTCCTTCATTTTCCTTCCTCGTTTGCCGCCGCGGGTCTCACAAACTTAGTTTACAAGGGCTGTGCAAACCAGAATTTCCAAGACCCAATTGCCTCCGAAAACCTCAAAACCCTTTTCACTGCCCTCGTTTCTCAATCCTCCACCACGAATTTCTACAAAACAGTATCCGGTGGAAATGAGCAATCAACTACATCCATCAGCGGCCTCTACCAGTGCCGTGGTGACCTATCGAACACCGACTGCAACAGCTGCGTGATAAAACTCCCGAACACCATCCAAAAAGTTTGCGACAGAGACACCATTGCTGCCCGAGTCCAGCTCGTGGGATGCTACATGAGATACGAGGTTATCGGATTCCAACAGGTTCCGGCGACTGAGCTCCTGTATAAACAGTGCGGTTCCCGTCGTGCTGGTGGATCCGGGTTCAGTGAGAGGCTCGAGGCGGCGTTGTCGCTTATACCGAAGGGGGTTTCCAACGGAAAAGGGTATTATGCCGGTGGGTATCAGTCCGTTTACGTGTTGGGGCAGTGCGAAGGTGATTTGGGAGGCGGGGACTGTGTGAACTGTGTGAAAAAAGCCGCGGAGATTGGTAGGACCGAGTGTCAAAGCTCCATCTCCAGCCGTATTTTTCTTCAGCAGTGTTACATTAGCTACACATATTACCCCGACGGAGTCCCCGGCGCCGGTAAATTTTTAGCTATATTTAAATTTTTTTCAGAGATTTTAATTTTTCTTTTCATGATTAAAGTAGTAACATATATCACCTGAGGAATTAAAAACAAACAAGTGGGAAATTAATCAATTCTTTATCGACAAAGTACGGTATGTTATATTATAGCAGGGTTTTGATGTAGAAAAGACAAATCGAGGTACACTCTTCATTGCACAATATACAATAATGTTTTAAAGGGTTCATAAGACGTGTTTGATATGTTGGTGGTGACAGGAGATGGTGGAGTCGGAGTTGGTGGTGTTGAAACAGGGGCGACTGAGACAGGTGGTGGTGGCGGCGGCGGTAGAAACAACACAGAGAAGACGGTGGCGATTGTTTTCGGTGGGCTGGCGGGGTTAGGGCTGGTCGTTGCTTTCTTGTTGGTTCTAAAATCAGCTTTTAAAAAGAAAAAAGAACACTACTCTTATGGAGGTCAGTGTCTCTGTCACTTGTTTTACTTGCAGAAAATTTTCTATTTGTTAATTCTTAATTTTGTTATCTTTTTTTTGTAAATTTGTCGTTATTTAGGTTTAATTTTTTTTTTTTTGGGAAATAATTTATGGTAAAATAATGTAGGTGACCATTGAAGAATGTAAAGGCAAAGGGAAAAGATAAAGAGGGACTTGGGACTTGCTTTGCTCTTTCTTCTTCTTTTGGTGTGGGTCTAGACTCAAAGAGTTGTTCCTTCGCTTCCAAGTTTTAAACTGCTTTTTAGACTTTTAATCGATCATCAATAGACAGATAGTGTATTATGTACATAAAACTACCTATTAATTGTAGTTTGATGATTCAATTATCACATTAATAGATCGGATCATGTAGTGTTTATTTTTTTACAATTTGCATACAGGTTATGACTTGGGCTCAGGTTTATGGGTTATTCATTTTGGACCCTGGTTATTTTTTATTTTTTGTTTGAGATACGTATTTTTTATGAAATTTTACCAAAATAGAGTCATGGCACCCCCTTTAACTAAGGAAATCAATTGTATCTTGTTTAGGTTGATGAGTTATAAAAGTTCAACCTCACATCACTCATATAAATATTTGTATCGTCTTACTTAACCCTAATCTAGATTAGCCACAAACAGATCCACCCACATAACTTGTTTAATTATACGGGTTCATGGGTCAGGTTTGTAGGTTACAAACTGGTTGATCCTCAAGATATAAACATCTATAAGTAGGTTGTTATTTTTTGTGAATATGATAAAATTAAATTGTACAAAATAAACACAGAAAAATATTTTTTTGTTGTATGTAGGATTGTATTATCTAAAATTGAGAACAGTCACTTAAAAGTTAATATTGTATAAATTCGATTTTTTTTAAAAGTATATAACTTTTTTATTGTAAATAAACCCTTACACGTGTGAAAGATTTGACATGAAAAAGGCGAGTAAAATCCTTCTTTTGCTAATGAAAAGCCTTCTTACACTTATACACTCATCTTGTGTACATATGGAATTGGAAATTAGAAAAGCATTGTTCCATTGACACTTCTTTTTGGCTTTCTTTGTGTTCCCTTTTTATGGTGTTGTTACTTTGGCACACTTACTTTATATAAAAAGAAATCTACCAAAATGTAAATATGTTTTAAATAACAAATATCATACAATACAATGATTTTAAGATGTTATATGCATATTTGGATACGATTGTGGATGAGTTTTGACATGTTTGATTCGTTTTTATCTATTTGATGTGTTTCTTTTTCAGCTCAACATACAATATTTCCAACTATACTCATAAGTATTATATGATCTAAAATGTCCCATTTATAAATAATTTAGTAGATTTACTGCATCGAACAATTGACTTTAATGGATTGTGATTTGTAACACTTTAATGAACTAGAATATACACATGGAAAATGAAGTTTTGGTGTTTTCTTCGCATGAGTCCAATTGGAATTTAAAAGCACGACATTTGTAATCCCATAAGATATAAAAAAATCTCATATTTGTCGTGGAAAATAAAGTAGACGAAGAGGAAAAATAATGCATGTTTCCACCGATATAAAAGGAGTAGCATACCTTATAGGCTTATGTCAATAAGCTTTTGTTAAAAGTAGCTCAAGTTGCTTGTTCACAACTCACAAGCTAAGAAATTTACCTTGAACCAACTCAAACCTTTTTCTTCTCAATTCTATTCTTGTATTAAAATTTGGTTGGTTGAACATCAATCCCAATATGACTTGAATTAAATTCTTTATGTGCCAAGTAAAATAATTCAATCACGATACTACAAAAAGTTTTGTAGATGTGAAGTAATTATGGGTGCATGGAGTCATGCAATAAAAAGAAAAAGATCGGAGAGGTACTCAAGATACCTCAATGAACACCACTCGTTGGCATGACATGTGGTAACGTGAAAGATGAGGGTTGAGTGGGTTAGCCGACCCACTACTCTCACAATCTTCTTTCTTTTATCCACTTATATTGTAACGACCAAAAATTTTCTCATCTAAATATCTAAAGATTATCAGAGTTTTCTAACAAAATGCGGAATTTTATATCTCAAAAACACTTGCATCCTTGGGTAATATCGGGTTTACAATAAATCATACTCATAATTTAAAGCAACGAGGGAATCTTAAAAATAAACTCTATATCTAGTCCAATTCTTTGTGCTCTTCCTCTCGTACAACGACTGCCACCTAAACCTCTTACACATGAAAGAATCTACAACATTATACCACATGTTTAGTGAGTTATACTTTAATCTGTTTTTATGTATCCATACTCTATGTCAACCTCTTCCATGTTCCTCTCATTCCTTCTTCTCGCCTCATTATATGATTGTTATTGCTATACTCTATCTCCACTTCTTCTTACTCTCTTCTCTCTTACCTCATACTCTCCTCTCATTCTAGGGCATGTTTCCTCACCTCTCTTCGTCCCATCTCATTTTTACTCCCATATCTTCTTGGCTCTTGCCTCTCTATTACATTTACGACCCAATCGTTCTAATTATCTATCATACCTTCACCTGTCATATAGAGGACATCATAGTTCTATCTTACCGGAGTACAACCATCTGGACTAAGTCCCCTTACTTTGATCCCATACATATTACAATGATCCCTTACGGGTCCTCTACACTTAATCCCTCACGGATTACATCAAGTTTCTCTAAAGAAACTTCTCATATTGTCCCACTCATGGAATCTTTATCAAACTTATCTATCCACACAACATCATATTCTTGTAGGAATACCATATCCAGGCCTGACAATTGGGTTGGGTTCGGGTTGGCGGGTCACGGGTTGGCGGGTCACGGGTTGACGGGTTGTCGGGTCAGAAAACATAAATTCAACCCAACCCATATAATATATGGGTTGACAGGTTGGCGGGTCACGGGTTGGTGGGTTGGAAACCTTAACCCAACCCAACCCATATAACCCGTTTAAGTATATGGGTTCGCGGGTTCACAAATTAATGGGTCAAACCCAACCCATATAACCCGTTTAATAAATAAACAACACATTTTAAAAAATGAGGTTTTTTCAACATAAATTCATAAAATGATTAAAGTAATTAACATAAAAAAAAAAAGGTTTTCAACATAAATTCATAAAGTCGATAACATTCAAATAAAAATGAAAAATGAAAACATTCATAGAAAGTGGATGTGTTCTTCGTTCGTGACTCGTGAAATAACGACATGTATTTTTTCTTTTTATGATTAACGAACCACAAATGCAGATTAGTCACATACGAATACGGAAGGAATACAATGATACGGAATATTACGAATACGGATGGAAATCAAAT